CTTTTAAGGGCCCTTCAGTGGTCTCCAAAGGCCCCTTACTGGCCTCTGAAAGTTCTTACCGGCCTATGAGGGCCCAGTTCTAGGGGCATTTCCCGCCTGTGATGGTCCCGCAATTATTTTTCTGAGAGCCCTATAACGGCAACTGTGGGGGCCCTCGTCGGCGCTTATGAGGGCCCACACCGGTGTCTCTGAGGGTTTCACACCCCCAACTCTGAGTGCCTACACTAGTGCCTATTAATGCCCTATATCGGCGACTCTGAGAGTGAGGACCCGAATCCCTACCCAACACCGGCGCATCTAAAGGCCACCCACTGGTGACTTCTGAGGCCCCCCACACCGGTCCGGTGACTCTCAGGGCCCCACCGGCGTCTGATAGTACTATGCCGGTCTCTAAGGACCCCACAGAACTTCTTCTGCTGGCCTAAGGGCCTCTTGCCGGTCACTGAGAACCCCCTGCCGGCTTGTGGAGGGTTCGCGTCCGCAGCTCAGGCCCCACACCTGTCTGTAACGGCTCCACACCAGCGTCTATGAGGGCCCACAGCAACGCCTGTAAGGACCCTCACCGGCGCCTCTGAGAAAATCACACTAGCACCTCTTAGCGCCCACACCGGCACCTGCATGACATTCCCACACCAGTGCCTCTTAAGGCCCCTTACCGGCGGCTCTGAGGGCCCTACGCCGGTGATTCTGAGGATGCTAACGATAACCGAAGGCACCATACAAGCGCTTAGTGTCGCTGAGCTTTTAATCCCATACCGGCCTTCCAAGGGCGCCACGTCAGTGCACTCATTGCCCCACACCCCTCCCTTACACCCGGAGCGGGTAAACTGTGTAGCTATAGCAACGATTTTACCACAGTTGTACGTTATGTATTTCTCAAAGTTGACTCAAGCTGGTGCAGTATAAAATCTGGCCTGCCAAACTTATGGCCAAGGTCAGGCCCAAACAAAAGCGGGATGACAACAGCAGATGTCAAATCGATACTGTAACAGCGGAAACCATTCAGATGGCAAGGAAAATGCCGTTTGTTTATGTTTAGATGTATAAAGGAAACAAGAAGTCCGGAAAAGGGAGGGAAGATCGTTTCTCGCTGCCTCAATGTTGAGGGGGCGCCGCCCCCTCGGCTCTCAGGTTGGGGGGGGGGGGGCTGCCCCCTGTTTCCTGGGTCTATGAAAATTACTCACCAAATAAGGGATAAGGGTGGAAAATTGATGGTCAGATAAGGCCCAAAAGGAGTGGGAAAAGAATGTACAGCAAAATTTAATACAAGGCTGGTATGTGGAAAGTAAAATGGCTATCGATCCATGCAAATGTTTTTTCTTGGTAAAATTGGGAGTGGAAAATGGGCTTAGAAAATGGAGGCCAGTGAAAAGTGATTTTCATTTGGATGTCGTTTCCTACATAAATCAACAAATTTTGGGACACTGGAACGGGGTACCCCTCGCCAGCATCAGGGTTGACGTCACTCAGGACCTGCCTATGGTTGGTTGGTGGGTGAGTTACTATACCTTCTATGGGTGACATTGAGCCAGCTCGGCGTTTGGAGGCAGTAAACACCTCCAAAACGTGTCGAACTAGGAAGCAACGGCAACCTTTATACCCATATTGGCCTGTTTACAGCGTCTGTATGCCGGTCATTTGGTCCCTGATCAATCCGGAGCTTCGCGGAAAGGCAAGCTTGTTGCCCGTGGCGGGTGATGCGGATGCTATCAGATTTCCAAAACGGGTATTTTTGGTATTCAGGTCGGGTAATTGCCCTGAACATTCGGAGAATCTTGGGATGCCCAATTCTGCAAGTCCCGGGTGAAGCTCGCTAGTCTGCCCGGGGGGTGTCCCCTTCTATACAACGACCCCGTGGCAGCTCGCTAGTCTGCCCGGGGGGTGTCCCCTTCCACAACGACCCCGGGGCAGCTCACTAGTCTGCTCGGGGGTGTCCCCTTCTACAACGACCCCGGGGCAGCTCGCTAGTCTTCCCGGGGGATGTCCCCTTCTACAACGACCCCGTGGCAGCTCGCTAGTCTGCCCGGGGGGTGTCCCCTTCCACAAAGACGCCGGGGCAGCTCGCTAGTCTGCCCGGGGTGCCCCCTTCTACAACGACCCCGGGGCAGCTCGCTAGTCTGCCCGGGGGGTGTCCCCTTCTACAACGACCCCGGTGCAGCTCGCTAGTCTGCCCGGGGGGGGAGGGGTGGCCTGTTTCTACAACGACCCCGGGGCAGCTCGCTAGTCTGCCTGGGGGTGTCCCCTTCTACAACGACCCCGGGGCAGCTCGCTAGTCTGCCTGGGGGTATCCCCTTCTACAACGACCCCGTGGCAGCTCGCTAGTCTGCCCGGGGGTGTCCTCTCCTACAACGGCCTCGGGGCAGCTCGCTAGTCTGCCCGGGGGCGTCACTTTCTACAACGGCCTCGGGGCAGCTGTCTGGTCTGCCGAGGACGTACTGGAGCTGGCTACCGCCAGGACGCCGGTATAGCGCAGGCGTCATTCCGGAGGCTTAGAATGCTGATGCCGGCGCGCGCTGAGAGCTCTCCCCTTTTTGCTGGTCGGCTATCTATGACCTGATTACCTATAGTCTCGTGGTCACTGTTTTAACCCCTTGCCAAGTTTTTAGGTAACATAAAACATTCATGGTCATCATTGCCACGTGTAGCACAGGGGCTAAGGTACACGTAACAGTAGCTGCGGCCTCTGTTTTCAGTTGCTTAACAACCAATGGGTTTCCATGATTTTTTAAGGGGCGGCGCTAAAATCATAACAATAATAACAATAATACAATAATAACAATAATTATTAACAATAACAATAACAATAATAAAAGAAAAAGCAGCTCGCTAGTCTGCCCGGGGAAGCCGTTTCTCATGGCCTCGGGTGCTGCCCGGGATGCTCCATTCTTCCACCTTCTACAACGGACATGGGGCGGCTCGCTTGTCTCCCCGCAGGTGGCTGCCACTAGGACGCTCGGTAGCGCGGGTGTCCTTACGGCGGCTTAGAGCGCTGATTCCTGGAGCGAGCTGAGAGCCCTCCCCTTTTTTTGCTGGGCGGCTGTCAACGACCTCCGTTGATACTGTTCTAATCCCTTCAAAAGTTCTGGGAAAATTAATGGTCGCGCTGACAGGCATGTGCATAGGGTTCAAGGTAAAGGAAAATACAGCTTCTGTTGTCAGATGCCTCAGAACTCATGGATGGTTTTTTTCGGCGGGTATATTGAGGGCCTTTCGTTGGTGGAGGCTATCATCGCAGTAGTGGCTAATGCTACTGGTTGTTCGTCCTGCTGTAAGGGCTTCGGTATAAATGGCGTAATATGGTTGTTCAATGGTGACCGCTGTATCGCTCACATCCATGTTGGCAGGCTTTAGGGATCGTGGCGTTTCTGGTAAGCTTCGGGCCAGGTTGAGAAAATAATTACCTACCTTCAACCAAGCACGTATTTGGGTGGGTTCCGCCACTGGTCTCGACACTGGCGGCGACTATAGGTCTTTTGTGTTAATTTGTATCCCCCATTCGGTCTGCTGGTCTCGGGAAGGGGGTGTTTTATTTTGGCGCATTGGTGTCTGGGTGGATGTATTGAATGGGTGGGGACACCATTGCGCCGCGCGGGGGGAGGGGTGGCGGCCCGTTGGCAGGGCAGTCTCGGTTGAGACATGTATACTTGCTATAGTATGTTTGTGTCGTGTTCATTTGGGCTGAATATACCAATAGCCCCTTTTTGTACAGCTACAGTGTTTTCCTGGAGGGAGTTGGTTGTGAGGTTTGCGCTGAGATTGGTTACGCATAGCATAGCTAATTGTCTCTATGTTTGCTGGCAGCTCGAAGGGGAAGCGGAAAATACGCCCGGTTATATATGACAAGATATAACCGGTTTTTCCGCGACACTACGAGCGTCTTCTCTGGGGCGGCCCCGGAGCCGGGCCGGCCTCTGCGGGCAGCGTTCGGCGGCAGGCGGGCGGCCGCCTGCGCCCCCGGGCGGCAAGGCCGCTAAGGCGGCGGCCTCCTCTGATTGGTGGAGCGACTCGTGTCACGTGACGGTGACGGCGCGGGGTTTGAGTGCATTTGCGTGGTCACTCTGTTCTAAGTCGCCCGGTCTGACGCAAGTCAGCAGTGTTCTCGCTCTGAAATGTTTTTGCGTTTCCCACCCACCCACCACCATTTTGGGGCTTTTTTTTACACGCACCACACTCTTAAATAAAGATGGGTTTTTCCACAAAATGTGGTTTTTTCCCCAACTAGGTCCCCCGGTTTTTTTCTAGTTAGGACTTTTTCCGGGGGAGGACACACACGACAGGGTTTCTAGTTTGGGTGGGGACACCATTGCGCCGCGCGGGGGGAGGGGTGGCGGCCCGTTGGCAGGGCAGTCTCGGTTGAGACATGTATACTTGCTATAGTATGTTTGTGTCGTGTTCATTTGGGCTGAATATACCAATAGCCCCTTTTTGTACAGCTACAGTGTTTTCCTGGAGGGAGTTGGTTGTGAGGTTTGCGCTGAGATTGGTTACGCATAGCATAGCTAATTGTCTCTATGTTTGCTGGCAGCTCGAAGGGGAAGCGGAAAATCTATTTTAACACGTGACATACCCACCCTGCCCCGCCTTCGACTCTTCGTAAATACACCGAAGAAGTATTTACATGGATTTACATGTACATTTGCGTTCGGTTTCAACAGCGAAGGATCTGCGTCGCTAACACAGTATCCCTGCCATCGACACGCATTGAAGATTATGAGACCCTAGCAGGCAAGATGACGACCCCCCAAAGTATATCACATAAGAGAAAAATGTCAAACCAATAACCCGTAACTAGACATTAAAATAAATTATTAAGCGGGTTCCTGTAAGTTAATCTGCCCCAGGTGGTGGCTGCTACTTCGAACTCTGCTGCAAGAAGCACTTGCTTTCAATGTGTTTTTAAACGGAATTACTAAGGCGATTGCACATGCCAGAGATTTGAAAACTATTTACAAAAGCATCGTCAGACGTCACATTTACACACTTCCCCTACAACAGTAGAATTAGTATCCTGACGCTATATTACAGTTCATAGTACATCAACTGTGACTGACGTAGATGATACACCAGCATTGTTCTGTACATTGTCCGTGGTAACCCATACATATCAGCGTATTTTTCCCAACGTAGCTTATAGGTACAGCCTTTTCACTCGGCGTGGTAGGTATCATTTCGACAAAACCGAGAATAGTCGAAAGGCTCATATGGCAGCAGTCACTTGAATGCCACACACAAAGGTCCGCAACGCTCCATTCAAGCTCGTCTTGAGATGACTCTCCCCTCCCATGTTCTCAATAGCTTTGAAGTAGGTGTGTTAATTTACGAGTAACTGATCACAAAGTCTTGGGTCTATTCTCGGTTTTGCTGGCACGATACTATCACACAGTGAGAAAAGCTGTACCCATTTCCTTTACGCATCACGGGATGAAAAAGCAATGCAACATAGAAATTACAATGCACAACACAAACAGGCAACAACAAGAATATTAGCTGTAGCACAAGACATATCACCTTTTGAAAGTGCGCCTTTGTGAAAATCCACGCCCCCAATCGATTTGTACAGGGTTTATTTACATGTTCGGTCCAGTGGCATGGGTTTTTAAGCATGCAATATTCATCGAAGGTGGGTTGCTAGGCGTTTGACGTTCATAGAAGGTTTTGAATTACATCCATAAATCGCTATGCTATGCTATGCGATAAGTTTGGTGATTGCTTTCTACCAAGACAGTCAAGTTTGTTTATTTTATTTTGCAGGGCTAGGCTCTTTCGGTCGAATGAGACCTTTGCAGAGCCGGAAAGATGATAGGAATGAAGGAATCAATGGTAGACATTGGTTTGGATGGCCACCCTGGTTCACCACGGGGGCTCAGAGCCCGTCACTGTGGACAGGCCACCCGGCCCCGCTAACGGTCACGTCATCGCACGATGGGCCTGCTCCTGAAGAGCTACCTAGGTACGTGGGATAACGGCAGATGTGACCGTCCGGCCCGGATCAGGGGACAAGAGGCGTGGAGGAGAAGGATCTGGATCAGGGGACAAGAGGCGTGGATGAGAAGGTTTTGATCCCTATGGGGGTTGAAAATGAAGGAAGGTGTGCCCAATGCCCATGATTGTCAGGCGCTTACTTCTATGCGTTTAGGACCGAATCTTTAACCATGCCTGGACCCGAAATTCACATTACGTATAGGTACCGGCGCACATTGATCACTGTCCATTGTCGCCACGAATAACCTCAAGTTTCTTTATGCACACCACAGTCCCACAACTATTTACAACTCAGCATCACAGATAACACAACATCGCCATAGAACAAAAATCTCACGGCAGGCGAACCCCCGACATTGATTCTCCCAGCCTCGGGACACGCTTTGCCTCTTAGCACCACCTCGCGGTAGTTTCCACAAGCGGCAGTTCCGTTTTCTACCGTCAGATGGCAGTGCTGCGGCCGGCCGGTGTTGACACAGTGAGGACGTTGCCTGCTCGCGGCTGGTTTTCTCCGTTCGGTGCATGACCGGCCGTCCACTGGACTGATTCCACTGCTCCGGTATGACCCCAGGTCACGGTGACAGCCGGGCGGGGGCGGGGGCGGGGGCGGCCATCCGCCGCCGCCTGGCATCAATCGGGTCCCGTGAGGTTGATTGGCGGCCCGCCGCCAGCCAGTGGCTCCAGCTCCTTGCCCGGTACAGAGGCAGCGCGGTCCAGCGTGGTCTTGGTGGAGGCGCTGAGGGAGCGGCACCAGTCAGCAATGACACTAAAACAGACAAGCAGGTGTGCGTTCGTTACAGGTTACGACGAAACACGCAGGGTCGTAAACTCGTAAGTTTGTCACTGCTGGGTGTGATTCATCACGCATTTCGCAAGCTCGTCGCTGGTTAAAACTTGGCAAATGGCACGCAGGATCGCTAAAGGAAACATTTTCTTTGGAGACCGGAGTGTAAAAAGGCCAGTTAATAAATCGGTTGAAGTGAGCACGAAGCTTTGTCGGGTAAGGTCATATATAATGACTCCTATAAGTATAGCACACCATTCAGAAGGTTTTCTGAGTAAAACCCATAGACCTTGCGTAGCACTATAGTAATCAAGAAACTTAACGACCAAAGTTTGCACTTTGAAAGTTTACGAGTTCGAATATTTGGAGAAGTTGGGGGCTATAGCCAGCACGTCGCACTATTAATCGTGGTCTGACCCATTATGGTCAGACAGGCAGAATTCCGAAACCCGGTGAGTTAGGTCCAGAGGTAACTTCAGCCTCACAATGCCTGATTTGTTTCCTCAAACGTTTCATCAGTAGCTGCCCTAAAGCCGATCGGTCAATGAATGGATATAGCATCTCGCCGACCTATTGAGCCAGTGACTATCGTCTTTCGGAGACAAGCAGCGGCGCCTCACACCAAAATAACGTCGCATGTAGCGCATCCCAATACATTTCACAGCCCGTAATAAATGCATCACTCGAGCTTTCTGGGTCACAATACAAGCTAAGGAATAGACCTATCGTGGATCCCTAAGCAGTAAGCAACTTACCTATATAATAGCTTAGAATTTCCCATGAAAAAAGAAAACCGTGCTTCCACACTCGCGCTAAATTTATTTCTGAGTTCCAGTTTATTATACTGGATGTCGAGAAGAGAAAAGACCCGTGATGCATCAAGTCAGAGGCTGCCAATGTTGAGAAAGAATAGGCAATATCCCGGCAGGAACGGTGCTGACGGTAGCATCGCTCAAATCTTGTGGATAATGAGCTTCTCTGACGAATGAGCGAGCCAGGCATTTTGTCTAGCACATGAAGGACTGCCACCTGCGTCGAGAGTAATTCTTATGTAACGCTCACGGTGAAAATGAGGGTTTATGATTTAATTCGCCGATATGATGTGGCGGAGTTTTAATTTTAAGTTTCTGAGGCATGAATTTCGAAATGCCCCACTGTGTTTCAATGAAAACATTGGCGCTAACTCTAGTAAATAATCAGCAAGCGAAAAGCACCCGTAATGTGGAAAAGGAATGGAAGTGGGTAAAAAATGCCGAGATATCGTTAAAAAATTTTTTATACGAAACTGTACCTTTTACAATTTGAGTTCAAGCATATAAGTTCCCCCGGGTTTGCAAATGCCGAAATATGTAGAATGTAGATTGTAGGTATATAAGTATGCATTGTATTGGCAAGGCTGGGCAAGGCTTATTGGTTTATTTGCATTTCGCAAGCACAGGCCATGACACAATATGCCGCTCACCCGAGGAATTTGTTCCTGAGGGACCTCTGGAGGGAGAAGCGCGACCGCAGCTCCTCGGAGCCGTTCTCCATATCGGACGACTGCGGCTCCATCGAGTAGCGACCCTCGTGACAGATGCTCTTCTGGAACTTGTTCTTGAACTCGCGCTTAAACTTCTCCTGTCAGGGGATCGGCAAAGATGTCAGTCACACGCGAATTACGTCAGGGTAGTTGGCAAAGTTAGGGATGCGACCAGGGCCCGATTTCACCAAGTGAATATATTCCATTACGGCGGCGTACATATTCACTTTTGGCATATTATGACATATTCAGTTTCACCAAACTCCGTACAGGGATACTTATTCAAGACAAAGACAAAGTATGACTGCATAAGTCCGTCGTTTTTTGGCATGCTATTACATTTGAGGTACCTCTGGTACGCCGATCTGCTTTTTCATTAGCTGTTTGCCGAGTTTGCTAGCATTGAAAGTATGCTACTTTTTGTGGCATACTTTGAGAAACAGCTTGGCATACATCAATTTTTTTGTATGATAATGTTACAAATTTAATGACTTCGTCGATGCAACGTATGATAAAAACATGCCACAGGCTACGCAAAAAGTTTTTGATGTCATAATGGTTATTTCTTGCTGGATATATAGGGTATCGTGTGTCAGGGCTTATATTGAAATTAAACCCCAGAATAGCTATTTTTATAAGGCTTATCTCATCGTGGCATCACTGCGATTAAAATCACCCCATCATGCAGAAACACAACAGGGAATTCCTTTTTTCATTCGCATTCCCAATTACATTGAGTTTTCCACTTAAAAAAACGACAGTTCACATTGTATTTTGATAACACAAAAGGCCAAAAGCGTTTCAAATCTTTCTCACCGTGATTATTACACCGTGCTCTTTATACAGCGTTTTACCGAAGAGGAAGTAAATAACTGGCGAGGGCGAGAGGAAGGACTGAAGTCCAGTCCAGCAACGCCTTGATTGACATGCCCAGCATGTTGCATCACAAGTCACAACGCATTCGTTTACATTCGTTTTCATCGCCCACTTTTGCTATTTCTTTGCAGTACCCATATGCTGTCCAATGTCCATATTTTTTTTGTGTGTGTTGTGGCCAAATGATTCAATTTATCACCGGCTTCCCGCTTCCGTTCAGGTTCAGTCTGCCGAATGATTCCGAAATATTCTCCATATTTGAAGTCGTCGGTAGACCCTTCGATTATGTAAAAACTTGATTCAAGTAATATTTCAGATAACTTGTCGGCTAGTCGGCCGTGCTTCTTGCTATCGCCAGTGATCGGTAGTTAGATATAAGATAGGTGCATCAAGTAATGGCATTTCTTGTTCGACTTTGGGCCTGTTCCAGCGCCTCCAGTAGAAATTCTTGACTGGAGGCTCTACCAGAGGTTTCACTGGAGGCGCTGGAACACAATCTGGACATTTCTGGAGATTGGCATCACAGATACCAAAAGAATGGCGATTGTTCTCTCTTGAAACGCAAAATTTGTTTTCAATTTTATTAAGGCAGATTAACAAAATTATAGCAATGTAATTTTCTTTTCATTCAAGTTGTAAAATAATCATATTTGTCTGAGTCTAAATAATATATAATAAATAATCTTTAATCATATTTATATTTGCTTTGAACCACTCCAGAATTGCGTAGAAGATGTGAACAAATATTGAAGCAATATCTAATGAGAAGTAACTTGGAAGAAAAAATTAATATCAATTCAAAATCCAATAAAACCCACACACGCCAGTAACGTCAACTGTGCTGCGCGGCTTGCTGCCGATTGTTTACATTTTTGGCTTTGGAATGTCATGCTCCCAGCAAAAATCAAGAGCATTATTAGCAATATTTGTTTAGGTACTTCCTCTTGCATGATCAGCAAATTTAATTCTTATTAGCGTAGCTAGAAATTTTTTCCATAATATTGTATATCTGAGCATTTAAGCTCGTTGACTTTAAATACGGAAAAATATAGTGACTGCATGTCCCCGACAAGAAAAGATATATGCATGCGCGCCGGTGGCTCCCAAAGTACGTAAAGCGGGCGTATTGAATATATTCCTGTGGCGAAACCGAATAGTATTATTGTCGTACTTTGTCGGTGTACTTTTCCAAAGTACACCAAGAATATATTCACTTGGTGAAATCGGGCCCAGGGGGAGGCACTCGCCTTGGCCGTATATGGGCCAGAATGGCCAGAATGTCTAACAATTTCCGCCATGTTGTGTATACCAAAGTCTTGAAAAGTTGATCACTGCAATCAAACTGCAAGCATGAAGCAGCAGCACTTTTGAGTAGTGTACCTCTCACTAAACTGCACCTCTGCTACCGTACATGCAATTTATATGTCTGGTATACACAACATGGCGGAAATCGATAGACAAAAACAAGTCACCAATGCTCCTTCCAGTATATATTAGAGTTCAGTGGATGCGACGGACGGAATAAGTGATTTCATTAGGCATTTGCCAGCATGTCAAGGTTATTTGGTATAGACTAATGTGGACCGATTGCATAACCGTCTGTGCCAGCTTGAGAAAGCCAGTTTCATTAAATATTCTTAGAATATTTGCTTTATTTTAAATGCGAATTATGGATAAGAGGTCAGCTCAGGCATATGACCAGTAGATCAAATAGGGATGCCTCTCAAACGGCTATGCAGCCAGATTTGTCAGAGAATCGGGCTTAGTTTTACGGCTCTGACGTAACACAAAGCACCGTTTGAGAATGGATGAAAAGTTTTGCCAGACATACGTTTAAAATATAAATACATTGACAAATGTAAACCGTTTTGTAAGATATTCAACCTAAATATTCATACATTTAAAGCTCAGGGTTGAAGGAGAAAATTCAGGTAATGCCCGACCGGTTTCGTATTTACTGTTTATGCATGAGTCACGAGGGAAATTATGCTGTATGTACCTCATACGCCCATGAATAAGCAATAAACTCGAAACGGAAACGTCGGGGGATGAACCGAATTTCCTCTTTTAACCTCTAATCTAGCGTTTAAAAAAATAAGCATTTAATAATTGAAGGCCTTAAAAAAAAACTCAGAAGCTTACGTTGTAGATGCCGTAGATGAACGGATTGCAGCAGCTGTTGGCCATGGCCAGCCAGTGGGAGCAGAAAAAGATGACGTTGATGTAGCGAAATCTGAAACACAACAAGGCCGTCAGCTACTAAATATCGACCAATCTCCAAAAATGTTGAGGCGTTTGATAAAGCTCGGTTATGTAATGCACGTGTCGGTGGTTCCCAGAAAACCATGGTGTCCAAAGCGCAGTTATGTAATGCACTAAATGACTCACTGGCAGTGTAGACTTGGATGAATTTCTAATCATCCCGCAAGCCTTACATTTGGGGAGCAATTAAGAGCCTATCCTTCTGCAAAAGACTCAAGCCAGGTCACGGGGGCCCCAATAATGAAGGCTTTTATAAATTACTGTATGCCTGGCCTATTCAAATACATTAGCCTGAGGGGTGTGGTAATAACTGGTGTAAGCAAATTGACCACGGTCAAAAATGCATTACCAGAATGCACTAAAGCCAACATTTTGGGATGGTCTCGTTCCTAAGTCGGCTAAGAGCTTCGGTCCAGAAAATAAATTTATGGTTGGCATACAGTAAAATACATACCAAACTCGGCCGGTGATAAATTTTCAAGACCTCAGTCCTTACTGATTTTTGAACTCGGCCTTCGGCCTCGTTCAAAAATCCAGTAAGGACCTCGGTCTTGAAAATTTATTTACACCGGCCTCGTTCAGTATTATATAATACCAGTTCGCGATTTGACCCAGTAAAAAGCCAGCGGTTTCATAGCAGAAAAGCTCTTGGAAGGTCCACTCCTGATTCAGAAGCTTTATCCCCTTTCGGAAAGAATAAACACTGCGATATCATTCTGCAACATTTGCAGAATCTGAAGCGTGAATAAAACGAAATTGTATGCCCTCCGGTACAAGAAAGTGAACAAGATTAACAGGAATGCGAGTTGCAGGTAAGAGACGTATCGATCACAGCAAGTAAATACGCATTTTTTTAATACAATGGGACGTAGGTAAAACCCTTTCTATATAAGCAAAGAAGAAAATTTCGGAAGTAAATGCTAGCTGACAAACATAGGAGAGACCGAGACGTATAAATGGTCAAATGTGACACTGATTTTGTACGTCAATTGAAACGTTCACTGACGTGTTGTCAATTGCGTCACTGACAAGATGTCATTATGACAGTGTTGTCTTATGTGACACTGATCAGTGATCGTGATCTTTTATGCCAATTGAAAGCCTCACTGCACTGAGGTTCAGGGGTGCGGAGCCGGAGCCGGAGCCGCCGGAGCCGGCACATTTTTGCCCGGAGCCGGAGCCGGAGACGGAGCCGCCATGATATTTCACCCGGAGCCGGAGCCGGAGCCGGAGCCGATTTTTTTTCTCCGGAGCCGGAGCCGGAGCCGGAGCCGTCTGAAATTTCCACGGCTCCGCATCCCCATGCTGAGGTTGTGTCAACTCTGACACTGATGCGACACTGATCTAGGAAAGCTCACGGTGGATTTATGGTGTCCGAGCACTAGTTCTATACACCTCCACCTGCGACCCAGTTTTACACCGGTGCGCCTTTAGGTAGGTATAAGTACGTACTCTCCAATGTTCGGGAAGATTGAGAAGACGACGTAGAAGAGCTGGAAGGGCAGCCAGCAGATGACGAACATGACGACCACGATCACCAGCATCTTCAGCACCTGGGGGCACAGGATCAGGGCGCACAAGGTCAGGGCATGCTACCCCTTCAGCACCTGGGGGCACAGGGTCATGGCGCACTCGGTCAGGGCAGGCCACCCCTTGAGCACCTAGGGACAGTGGATCGGGGAACAAGTGGTCAGGGCAGGTCACCAGCATCTTCAGCATTTGGGAGTACCGAATCATCGCACTGCAAGGTCAGGGTATGACCCATGTTCAACTCTTTAGCTCCCAGCAGCGCCGGATAAGGACACACTTGGCCGGAACATGTTAGCACTCATCCACTACAGTCATCAGTCACCACGCTTAATTAACCCGCGCCCCGCTGGGGGTCCTGGATTTCCACGCCCTGCTGGGGGGGGGGGGTGTTTGAACACCCCCCCCCCCTTGTAACTCGGCTCCTGGGCCACGTAGCGATATGCGGAAGGCGGCGTTCGAAAGAGCGTAAAAAATAATGACGAAATCACTTCGGTCAATTTTTTGGTCAGGTCAAAGGTCAGGTCACCAGAGGTCATTGAAGGCAAAATTTCGCCGATTTCCAGGTCGAATGTCGAAAATTTCCAAGAAGCTAACGCATAACTCGGGAACCAATAGAGCTACAGCGCCGCGGAAAAGTGCATTCGATAGCCCTATTAACGCCCTTTCTGAGTAATTCTCTCAGATTTGACCTAACGTCAACGGTTTTGCCTGCAGGGGGCAAAAACTGCAAAAATAGCCGATTTTTTCGGAAACCGTTTTTCTGCAGTAACTTTTGACCCAAGCCTTGTACGAGCTTACTTTTACCGGCATCGTGTTCCTCTCGTCAAGACGCATCGAATGAACTATAACTTGACCTTGAAATGTCAACTTGAAAATTTGACCTCAGGTCAAGGTCATGACCTGACCGGAAAGGGTCATGTTGCATATCAGTCGATCCGTATCGTCGAGCTGAACACATATAAGGCGTTTTCATCGCTCTAGCATGCCTCTATCAAAAGTTATTTGCGAAAAACTGTTAGATACCATTCGTGACCTAAGATGACCTCAGGGCACAAACAAGGGTCACGGACACCATTTTCATGTTCAGTGTGTCTAAACCACTTGTAATTCGGTGTTTGGGAGTGTTTATAATGTCTTTCGTCCAAAAGAGGCGCATTTCAATTTTCTCCCATTGACTTATAATGGGGAGGTCGCAAAATTGACCTGACCTTAGGTCATCGATATCAAAATTCTGAGATATACATTTTGTACATGCTATTGCTCTTAGCAATCGCTGAAAGTTTCAAAGCGATCGGTCACTCGGTGTAGCTATGACAGACATTGAAACTTTTTATGAGGTGAGGTCACTTCAAGTGACCTGGTGACCTGACCTTGAATGACCTTGGTCTGAAATTTTCACAACATGTGTAGAATTGATGTATGATAAGGTGTACAAAAAACGGCGGCGCTCCGCGCCGCCGTTTTTGAGATATTCGCGAAAAACCACAAGGGGGGGTGTTCAAACACCCCCCCCCCCCAGCAGGGCGCGGGTTAAAGTGAAGTCGTGTTCGACAAAAAGTCATCAGTCATCAGTAGACAGTAATCAGTCATCACGCTTGATTAGCAGCGTGCTCAACGGAAAACGAAGTAACCAGATGCAGCTCTAGGTAAGTACCTACAATTTGTAGGTGCCTAATGAAAAAGCCTTTATCTAAATGTCGATTGTTTTTTTTTGTGGATTGGCAATAGCAAAATAAAACACTCAAACCAGTGCAGCTGCTGAAATGTTACGATTGCTACGTTTCCAAGAAAGAAATCAAGAATCTAAACTATGCGCATAGTTATATGCATTCCTTCCTCGTCATGGGCCAGTGCACTTTAATACAGGGCCTCTGATGAGAGGGTGTAGGCATCCAAACCCATTCAGGACGGTCACACACGCTCCCAGACACCATCAGTGCACTTTGGAGGTCGCCAGAGCCCGTGCCCTGATGGCTCGGAACTGAGGCGCCCTACGCAGAATTCTTGTCATCAAGCGGCGTTGATTGCGCGGACCGGCGGCCGATGCTCAAATAATGGCGCACGTCGAACGGCGCTGATGGCGGCTGCTCCATTAAATTAAAGAGCTTGCGAGGCTTCCTTTAGACGATCCAAACGCTGTTGCTGACCCAGCCGAGAATTAGAAGTTGATTTATTCATTATAGCAGTTGATTGGAAGGATATTTTAGGGACCGATGCACTTACTTCACAACATTGAGATGCAAGTGTGAGCCGCGAGACGTGAGGTCGCATATGAGGACTAGGTGAAGACGGAATCAAATCTGATCAAATAACTTCCGTTATTTCTTAAATTTAGATGATATCTTTTATCGTGCCAACCATTTTGTAAATGGTTAGTCTGCATAAGTGCATCGCTAGCGGAAGGAAAAAGACGTAGGTAACTTTTCATTATTTTGTATTTTGTGTCATATCTTCGAATTAAAGTATCAGTATGAACTATGAAGCATGGGTGCTCACAGTAAAGACAAAAAGAATGATGTCTTATTGCATCCCATACCACAGAACGCCACAGCTGTTGACGTCCAAGGAGCATGTACCTAGGAAAACATATCAATATTCTGCCATCACTCAAAATTCAATTTCACATTTCAGACATGCATATTATGGCCTGGGAAGTCCAAACAACTGAGTCTCAGTTCAAGTGGAAAGTCTTAGGTAAGCAGTCTGATGAAAAACTACTTTTGAGGGCTAACCTGAAAAAAACGTTCCCATCAAACACGGCAAGCTTTACCGCCTGCAAAGTTATGAGCGAATTTTACAAATTATTCCCACACATGTTGAAGCGGTACAATTAACTCTAAATATATGCGACAGGTATTCCCATAAACGTCAGCATCGAGTTTAACAGCTTCAGGATATTATGCCTCGAGAATTTCCCAGACAACGAACCTAATTAATTTCACACCACCGTCCTAATATCCAAAAGCACACCGCCAATGGCTACACTACCATTTACACAGCTTAACCGTTTCCCGTCTAAATAACTGATGTTGTTTACCAGCTGATCAGTTTGCTCCATATCCCTAGCCTAGATCAAAGGACCCGAACTATATAACACTCAACCTGCGTCGCTACACAGATCCAGGCCATAGAGCTACAGATAGCCTGGGGCCACTTTGCGGTCGAATGACGTCACAATTGACGTCACAGAGCACGTGACTTACTCAGTCCGAGTGCTTTTCGGGCGAAGCGTCACACCGCCGCGCTGTGGTGAGAATAGGCGCGGCGCAGGGCCGTCATCCTGGAAGCGTCATCAGGACAGCGTGCGCTGGTTATCAAGATTGCGGACCGGCGGTGACAGAAGAGAGACGCCATATTGGCCCAGGCGAGACCCAGGCAGAGCGGGTACGATCCGGCGCGGCGGCCAGCCGGTGCCCGGAGCGACGACAGCTTTGACGCTCTCCCGTTTTATGAGGCCCAAAGTAGCGCTGCTGGACGAGGGGAGGAGCGGCCGAGAATACTGTGCGGATAAACCCAAGTAGCGCCGCTGGACGGGGGGGGGGGGGGGGGCAGAAACACTCGAGCATACTGTGCAGATAACTAGGTGAAGATTATAGGAGCTAAAGGGAATTCAAGCCGAGTGACGTGAAAACGTAAAAATGTGTCCTAAAAAGAGAAATGATGAACAAGTTTGACTGGTTGTCTATTTTAGTTTTTTATATCCGTCAAAAATAAATATTACCTTCAGACATACTTTTAAAGAAATACGATCACCGAGTTTAAAACAAAGTCAAGCCTATAGGCTAGATAGCAAATGTAAGAAATTGAAAATTTAGCAAATAAAAAATGCAAGCAAACCACGGCGTGAATAATTTATCCGGAAATAAACATTTCATTCCATTGACACCTACAGTCCTACACCCTACCTGGAATTATATTCTGGCATCACAAAGATTCAAACTTGCGTAATTCATGAGATTAGGCTCATTTGGCGCATTTGCAATTCCAAAGTGCGTCGGAATGAATTCAGCATAACATCTTATATGCCCTGGAGTTTGGTGATAATAGACCAACCACAAAGAGCTAGCTGGAAGCAGGAATTTTATGTGCAGATGCTAGTGAGAACTGATGAATAGCTGCGTCTACGCGGATATTCACTCCCGCGAAATTATATCAAAGCAGCAATCAACTGCAGAATATCATAAAGCATGACACCAATGCAGCATATATTGAACATGGATCCACAACTGTATTTGAAGCACTGTGTCGAGCTCAGAAGATATCCGGTAAAAAACCTCATCACCAGTTTGCAATAGCGACGCCACTGGTTCACCCCTCCCCCCGCCCCCCCCCCCCCGAGCCGCGATAGGAGCTCAGTCCTGTTGAATTCAGTACAGGATACCTCAGCGCAAAATCTGATGGCCAGTTGCAAACCAAAATGATCATTAAAATCTAACCGAACATACCTCGACGCGTTAGCTATGCAAGATGTCAACACGATGTCATAGCATGTGTTTTTCGGACAACACAAAATAAAATGGATTTTTAGAGCTCGACCTCATCTGCAATAGATAACTTAATCGTCATTTTGTCACCAACGACCCCCTCCACCATTACATCTTCCCCTCCCTCATGCATCATCAGCTTTCCGCGAACCACGTCGATGGTTGTAAAAACGTGGTAATGTTGTCCCAGTCCATATACAATTATACACCCATGTTCCCCGAACAGTCATCCGTGCGCGGTGCCAAGAGCCTGTGTCGTCTGCCCACCGCCAGACCGATAGATCCTCCTATCGTTCGTTAGCGATGGTCGTTAGCGCTTGGACGCCTGCGTCGAGGACAGATCTGGCGATCTTGTCAGGACGTGACCGGAAGAGGAGGGTGATCCATGACCTATCATTGCTGGGAAGTGTCTGAAGGACATGGGCTAGACTGCCGACTGGCTTGGCGGTCTTGGTTATGTAGGTTGATTTTAGGGGTGAATTTAATAAGGTTTGTTGTCTGGAAAAATCGTGAGGCATAATAACAAACAATTGTTTAAT